GGGGGGGGGGGGGGGGGGGGGGGGGGGAACTGAACTACGCTCAACAAACTCTGCGCTCGATGCAGGCGTTCCCCTGTCCTCGAGTAAGCACCAACTGAAATCTATTTTCATTAAATTGGCCAACGAACGTTGGGCGAAGGAACCAACATGTTCTGTTACAAAACAAACAATTATAAACGAAAAACGATCTAAAACTCTCATACAAATCGACCGCCCCATTATTAGCACAGTTGTAGGTATAATTACAGGACACTGCTTAATGGGAGCGCATGCTAGGCGAATGGGTTATCCCGCAAACGATTTCTGTCGTGCCTGCAGGGACGAGGAGGAGGTGGAGAGTGTAGAACACTATCTCTGCCACTGCCCCGCCCTGACAAGGTCAAGACTTGCTATTTTTAGTCAACATACTTTTCGGTGTTTAGCCGATCTCGACTCTGTGGACGTCCGCGACCTTCAACGATACGTTAAGGTCACACGATGGTTCTATCATTTGGGAAACTAGGGGAAAGGAACAAGAGCTCGTTCATAGTGGCATCACAATGGGTCAAAATGGCCTAAGTGTGTCTCTCCGCCGTTCCGTGCGGAGTAACCTAACCTAACCTATATTATAAAAATATATGAAAATTTAATTTACGTTCCGATTTGCTTCAAATTCGAAATACAGCATAACAACATTGGTATCAATATACCTGCCAAAAATGTATGTAATAGGTGGCTCCAGAGCCGAGTTTGTATGAACCTATTCTCCCTTCTGTTTCTATGAAGTATAAAATCAGCCAACAATATTATTTACCTAGACGATCAAGTGTTGCCGCTTGATATAAAAAACCTCACAAGTAAAAGTAAAAAGTGTGTGAAAAAAGTGAGATAGTCGAATTTCGACAAGTGGTCGATACTATAAGAAATGCTAAAAAACGGTTAGGTGAAAGTATTAGTGAATTTCAGTGCACTTAAAGTTGTGTTTACTTTCTGAGGCGTTGTTTAGTTTTGCTTGAGAATTATCAAAACCGTAAAATCAAAGTAGCGGTCCGCTGAATGTTCCCTGCATCGTTTTTTGCAGGATAAAAAAATAGGAAGGAATAGGAATTTTACACACAAACTCACACACACATTCTCATTTTCGAGCTCAAACCACAACAACTTTGAACAATTCCTTTTTTTACGCTCAATTTTATATGATTTTAAAATGTTGGTAAACTTAAAAAAAAATCATGGTTTTTTGCATGATAAAAGCATAGTAAGGTAAACCCGTTCTCTCAATGCGTCGGCCATGATTTTTTTTGAAGTTTGCCAACATTTTAAAATTGTATAAAATTGAGAGTAAAAAAAAGGAATTGTTCAAAGTTGTTGTTGTTTGAGATTGAAAATGAGAATGTGTGTGTGAGTTTGTGTGTAAGATTTTAAAATTAAATTGCTTGCAAACGTCAAGAATTTGAAAAATTCTTCTCAGCGGTTCTACTTTCCTATTTTTATACCTTTCATGAGCATGAAATGGTATTATAACTTTGGTCCGATGTTTGTAAGTACCAGAATAAGAAGAGATAGACCCATTAAAATGTATACTGAAATGATCAGAACGTCGAGCTGAGTCGATTTAGCCATGTCCGTCTGTCTGTCCGTCTGTTTGTATGCAATCTAGTCTCTCAGTTTTCGAGATATCCGGATGAAATTTGGTAGGTGGGTGTATTTTTACAATCTATTAATCATTTGTCGGAACCGGAAGAATCGGACCACTATAACATATAGCTCCCATACAACTGATTGTTCAGATATGAGATTTTTCGTTATAACTTCTCCATTCATGCAGCTAGGAACATGCAATTTTGCAATACTTCCACCCATTATCAACAGAAAACTTAGAGTGAAAATTACAAAGATCGGGTCACTATCACATATAGCTCCCATACAACTGATTCTGATCTTATACCTCTGATTATTCAGATACCAGTTATTACGATATATCTCCTCTATGTAGGAGTCTAAACCCATTAAATTGTGTTACCGGTTTACATACCGATCACACAGCAGTGAAAATCACTTAGATTGCTGCTATATAAGGTATATCATCCATACCTCTGATTGTTTAGATATGGTTTTTCATATATGTATCTCTATCTATGTATTCTGTAAATATATATTTTTTTCAAATGCAGTAATCTATTAAAGTAAAATTTTCAGATGCTCATGAAAGGTATGAAGCCTTCGGCATAGCCGAAGACAGCGGTGCTCTTACTTGTTTTATCATGGTTTTTTGTATGTAGTATGTACCAGGGATGAAAAATGGTAATTTCAGATTGTACCTAAAAAATGTTACATCATTCATTTGTAGTTTTTTTTTATAAATTTTATTTAGGGGCTGTCCATATATTACGTAAGGGAGTTTTCACCTGTTTTGAACCTCTCCCCCCTCCCCTCTCGAAATAAATTGTAAGATTTAATTGATCCCCCTCCCCCAGCCGCAGATCTTACGTAAGATTAAAAATCCCCTAGACATGTTTTTTCAATTAAACATTAGAAAATACTATATATTTCCATCAAACAAATATAGGAATATAGGATGTATGCCTAGTAAGTCTTAAAAACTTCATTACATAGTTATACTAGTCTTTCTTTGTTGCCGGTTTCTTTGGTCCACGGTCCAGCCTAGTAAGTCTTAAAAACTTCATTACATAGTTATACTAGTCTTTCTTTGTTGCCGGTTTCTTTGGTCCACGGTCCAGCCAGCCAATCTGAAAGAGGAGTAGCCACAGGGATATGTCGTACTTCTTTTTCACTCAAAGGTATTTCATTTTCACAGTCCACTTAAATTTCTTCTTGATTCACCCACTCAATAATATCCTCTGTTTCATTTTCTGTGATGACACATATGAGCTCTCGCCCGCGTCGTGAAATTATCCTCTTTGCTCTTCGACGCTGAGGCTCAGAAAAGATCAAGTGAAGCTTTTTGTGAATGCTTGTTGCCTTATTTGATGCAAAGTACTTACCACATACATTGCATATTCTCTCCTCAAGTTGGTCATTCACTGAGGGACAAAAAAAATCATAAGGTATACTTTTGTAAGTGCACGGAATAGTCACTTTCAGTGCCATTCTTAGGAATAATGGTATGAAATGATCATTTTCTTGTACTTCTGTCGGAGAAGGTACTGTCAACATTGATTGACAACAAAGAGTAATAGGTGGTGGACAAAAACCGGTTTGAAGAATATCTCGAAAATTACCCGAAAGGTCTTACGTAATATATGGACAGCCCCTTATAACAGGAATACAAAAGACGGATTTACTTTACACATGATTAGGTGTTTATTAACTGGGCCTATATCTATAGACTATAGTCTAATGGGAATCGTAGAAGCGTTGTTTTTGTCTACTGAAAATATTAGCGAAAAAAAAACAAAAAACACACTTTAAAAACATACACTTTAAAACATATTTCTTTATCCAACTTTTTATAAAACAACAGGAAAAGTCTGCTAATTTATCCGATTCCTTTTAAAAGGTGCAGCAAGTCTAGAGAAAATAATCAAATTGCCGTAAGTAACTTCGAGCAGCATGATAAAAACATAGTAAGGTAAAACCGTTCTCTCAATTCGTCGGCCATGATTTTTTTTTGAAGTTTGCCAACATTTTAAAATCATATAAAATTGATTGTAAAAAAAAGGAATTGTTCAAAGTTGTTGTTGTTTGAGCTTGAAAATGAGAATGTGTGTGTGAGTTTGTTTGTAAAATTTTAAAATTAAATTGTTTGCAAACGTGAAGAATTCGAAAAATTCCTCTCAGCGGTTTTACCTTCCTATTTTTTTTATCATGGGGAGCAGTACAAAAGCAAAGTAAAAAAAAAAATATTTAATTTCTATCAATGCTCAGAAATAAATATCCTTTTTGATTAGTAACATAAAATCTTTTCTTTTGAAAAAAAGTTAATTTATGTGCAAATATGTATGAATGTATGTGTTTCCATATGTACATATATCACATAGAAAAGAAGAAAAATCCATGTTTATATGTACACCTAATCAAACCGTCAAATGGTTTACAAAAACGCCATTATTTTATTAAAACAAAAATATAATACAAAAATTTAAATTTGCATGTATCGCTTTTTAAATGCTTTACTTGAAGCAGCAAGGGAGCGTTTCTTTCTAATGACACACAATGTTAAAATACAATGAAGTGTGCAATTAGGAAGGGAGCGCTTGCTGCTGATTATGGAGCGCTCCAATAGCACAAATGGAGCGCTTCTAGCCCCGTTAGGTACATATAGATGTACATGTGTATATGTATATATATTTGTGAAAAGAAGTAGTTGGCTTGTGTTTCACTGTACGCAATTTCACCATTAATTTAACTCCAAAATAAAATATCCATAAAAATAGGAGGAAGTTTGAATTCATACTCACGCGGTCCATTTCGTAGTCGCTGAATCCAACCGAAAGAAACGTGAGCAGTAAGCAGAGATTCTGTGTGGGCGCCCCTTGTCCGCAGAGCAGATGCCCGCCCAGTTGATTCAGAGCGGTCGAAGGGAAAAGTTCGTGTAATCCCAAATGATTTAGGATCACCTACAATTCAAGCGGTGGATGAGCGAGAAAATAGTGCAGTGTTTCCAGTTTGTGCGATATTGGTGGCAATGTAGTATGTATGTATGTAGAATTTTGGTGTTGGCGACCAGCAGCATAACGGCAATGGCGAGAAGTTGTGGTAATTGTATCGCATACGTTTTTCAATGCCCGCCAAACATTGAAGCACACCAATGACGATTTGTATGAGGTCCGGATGTGGAAGAGACAAACCGGAAATTGTGCAAAAGTACAAAAATAAACTCAATATACTATGTGCAATTTTCGCTTTGTGTTAATGCAAAATAGGATGATACATTCCATTTCCAAGAATCTTGACTTTCGTCGTCTTAACGCAGATTAATTTTGGATGATAATGCAGTAAAATTATTATGTAGTAAAATAGCTAAAATATTTTGTTAAAAAATCTCATTTGAAGAAGTTTCTTTTATCCTCGATGGACAAAGTTTTGAACCCCTGTTTAAAAAAAAACATTACACAAATAGTTTTAGAATTAACACAAACGGCAATAATGTAAAGCTTGCTTTATTTCACTTTTAAATGGGAAATAATACCAAAATTTGAGTTTTGCTCAAGGTTCAAAGACTACAAGGTTACGACATCAGCCATGGCCGCCATCTTGATGACGTAGATGGCTCAATTTTTGTAGTTGCCAGATTTCTAAAAAATTATCTTATAAAAATACACTATTTTAGTCAAAAATACATGAAGTTTTATTTCAAATATGTGTAACCCTGATATTTACCGTTTGACAATTTGCGTCGAAGTTTGTGCTTTTTTCTGCGTCTTTGAGTTTATTTCAATTACCAAAAATTTAAGTGCGCTGTTTTTGATTGCAAAAATTATACTGAAATGGGGTGATTTAGGTTTTACCGTATGTCTAAAGATGAATTGCCATTTCGGTAGCGAAATTTTGGCAATATTATGAACGCATTTTATTTAAAAGTCCGCGAGAGTGTTCTGCTCACTTTCAAGAATAAAATCACCAGCAAATTTCAATTTGCATTCGATTTACATTTAATTTGTCACTATTGTACGAATATTATTATGTTAATCCAGTTTCACATGAAGTTATAACATTTTATGTTGTTATAATAAGCTTTGCCCCGATTTTATATCACAAATGCCCATTTGATTAGGATTCCTAAAATATGCTATACGGCAACTATATTTTCTGCGTTTTGTGTACTCTCCTTCTTCGTAAAATATTTCAGCCAATCAGAACTCACTTCGCAACTACGTCATTGGAGGAAAATAAATTTTTTACAGCACCATGTCGTAACCTTCTATTCTATGAACCTTGAGTTTTGCTTTATTTCCAACTCTTGTTGGAATTTTTCTTTATTTCCCATTGCTTATTTATACGATTTGTAACAAAAACAGTTTACTTACAGAAGGAAAAAGAACTTTGTTTATTCTAAAAATACAATTAAACAAATATTTTTACTTAAGAAAAGTCCAACAAAATATAGGGAAAGCCTTGTCTTTAATAACTGCTCGGCAAATTGGACATAGCGCTGCATGCTTTTTAATATGTTGAAAATATTGCTGGAAAACCTCGAAATGTTTGCATGGAACCATGGCGCAATAAACAGGTGAAACAATAAAACAGCTTTCTCGCTTTATTTTCCGACATTCGGCTGCCTCATAGCCAAATTTTAAAGACAATTTTTCATATAAGGCAATGTCAAAATCTTTCTTCTCGCTCTAATTACGTCACCTGGCATAATTCCGCCATGGCATGGAATAAACAAAAGGTCCGTATCCGAACTGTGGATTTCGTTTACGAAGACGGAGCATGTGGTACGAAATAGTGATGTAAAAATATGTAAAATTTTACCTTCTACGTATACCCGGTATAAGCAGGTGGGATGAATGGGGTAATAAACAGGTGAAGTAATAAAACAGCTTCCTAGCTTTATTTTCGGACATTCGGCTGCCTTATGGACACATTTTATAGGCAAATTTTCAAATAACGCAGTGTTCGTATCGAGGAATACATACAGGGGCAAAAATAGAAATTAGGACTCGACATTAAAGTAAGTTTCGGCTCTTTTTTATACCTTTCATGAGCATGAAATGGTATTATAACTTTGGTCCGATGTTTGTAAGTACCAGAATAAGAAGAGATAGTCCCATTAAAATGGATACTTAAATGATCGGAACGTCGAGCTGAGTCGATTTAGCCATGTCCGTCTGTCCGTCTGTCTGTCTGTCTGTCTGTCCGTCTCTTTGTATGCAATCTAGTCTCTCAGTTTTCGAGATATCCGGATGAAATATGGTAGGTGGGTGTATTTTTATAATGTATTAATCATTTGTCGGAACCGGAAGAATCGAACCACTATAACATATAGCTCCCATACAACTGATTGTTCAGATATGAGATTTTTCGTTATAACTTCCCCATTTATGCAGCTAAGAACATGAAATTTTGCAATACTTCCACCCAGTATCAACAGAAAACTTAGAGGGAAAATTACAGAGATCGGGTCACTATAAACTATAGCTCCCGTTCTACTGATTGTTCAGATATAAGATTTTTCGTTATAACTCCTCCATTTAAGTAGCTATTAATATGAAATTTTGAACAGTTGTCACTCATTATCAAAATAATACTTTCAGAGAAAATGGCGAAAATCGGGTCGCTATAACCTATAGCCTCCATACAACTGATTGTTCAGATATGAGATTTTTTGCCATAACTTCCCCATTTATGCAGCTAGGAACATGAAAATTCTCACCGTTTTCACTCATTATTAACAGAATATTTACAGTGAAAATAACAAAGATCGGGTTACTATAAAATATATCTCTCATTCAACTGATTGTTCAGTTATGAGAATTTTCGTTATGACTCCTCGATATATGCAGCTAGGAACATGAAATTTTGCAATACTTTCAACGATTATCAATTGAATTCTTAGAGTGAAAATAACAAAGATCGGGTCACTTTTACATAGAGCTCCCATACAACTGATTGTTCAGATATGAGATTCTTTGTTATAACTTCTAAATATATGCAGATAGAAACCTGATATTTCGCACTATTTTCACTCATTATCAACAGATAGTTTACAGTAAAATTAACAAAGCTCGGGTCACTGTAACTTATATATTGCCTCCATATAACTGATTGCTCAGATATGGGGTTTTAATGTAAAACTAATTTATTTGGACAGCTAAAACCGATAAATTTCGTAAGCTATTGTATAAATAATGATGTAGAGGATGGTTTCGTGAAGTGGAAAACTTTTGACTGCCATTCACCTGGGAGTGGCCAGAAGCGATTCTTGTGCGTACGGTTCAAATCGCAGCTCACAACGTCCGGATATTTATATCCACGTATCCTCTGGGTAGCAGCCAAACACCCGTTTGGGAGCGAGCTAAAATGAGAAGGCGTAAAACTTCGCGTGCGCTGGGTTTGGGTCCCGCCACGTTAAAACCCCGCCCAACGAAAAGAAAAAAACATCCTCGGATGAGACGCCCTTTTTCTGATGACGACCACGGCAAACGTATAAATGACTATGATTTAAGGGTATGCACCTGGAATATCCGGACCCTTAATGGGGAAGGTGCCTCTGCCCGGCTGGTTGATCCGCAATCCAAGAAATGCGATGGACGGGGCAAGGAAAAGTAAGCGTGAAGCCTTGCGACGTCTACTACAGTTGCCTCGTAAAGGAGCGAAAATTCAGTGATGGATTCGTGGTAGGAGAGAGACTCCGTCGCCGAGCACTGGCGTTCACCCCGGTGGACGAACGTCTAGCCACAATCCGCATCAAAGCTAGATTCTTGAACATCTCGCTCATCTGCGCCCATGCCCCGACGGAAGAGAAGGATGAGGCGTCCAAGGATCTCTTCTATGAGCGCTTGCAACGTACATCTGAGCGCTGCCCCCGACACGATGTCAAAATCGTGCATGGCGATTTTAATGCCAAGGTGGGCAAGGAAGGGATCTTTGGCGCCACTGTCGGAAAATTCAGCCTCCACGACGAAACGTCCGATAACGGACTGAGGCTGATCGACTTCACCTGGGCCCGAAACAT